TACCCCCTGCTGTCGCTGTTGACACGACGAGTGAGTGATATTAAATTCAATAATTTGAATTGCTACAGAAGGGCAGCGGCGGATAAATCACTCGTTGTGTTCAGTCAGCGATGGTAGATGATCGGGTGAGGTGAATTCAGAGTTTTAGTGAAGTGTTCAGGAATATTTGATGAAATCCATCTTTCTGTGTGTCCATTGTCTATAAATGTGCCAACATGTGGTGTCTTTGAGGCCGACACACCGCCACGTCCTCGCCGTGGCCCTGGATAACGCAGAGAGCGGTGTATTAAATGTCATATCTCCCATACTAATTGTTTCCGGATAAAAAGGTGAACAGATCCTTAATTAGGTGACGGAAACCCATCCAATCAAATAAAAAACATCCAGAATGGTTTGGTGGACCTGAACTAGACATTTACCTTTCATGAAAGGAAGAGGATTTACTGATGTATCGATTGCATGAGCCCATAATTTTGGTTCGACTTGCAGTTATTGGATATTCTGGGAGTGAAGTTCAAAGGAGGGTTATTGGAATATTTAAGAAGCGATGCGGAAGGATTGCCTGAGGAATGTGATAATCAGGGCTGAGATTATAACTCCGGGGAGATGATGGAGAGGGGAATATTAGATGAACATCGTTGGTAATTTCAGTGGATGCACTAGAGACTAAATAGTTGAGCTCTTCACTTTTGGAGGACCTTTTCAAACTTGTCAATTGGGGTATCACGAATTTCTGACGTTCATTATAGTTTTCAAGTTTTGGAGATGTTAGGGATCAGTGGAGGGCCACTCTCATATGCCGAAATAGAGGAGTTGGGAAAATTGGAGGATTTTTCATTGAACTTCTTCATTCCTCCGGATTGAGAAAAAGGAGAGGACGTTCCAATGAATATAAATTATAATCCGAGGCATGGTGATATGATTCGATTTATTAGACCTATTCAAGTATTCGAATCATAATTTTCGATATTTTTAATAAAAAATATCATTTCTACCCATTTTAATTTTGAAACCCATTCAAATTCCAATAAAAAATTAATTATATTCATATTTTAGATAATTAATGGGTCGTAAAAGAAATTAATTGAATGATGATTCTCATTATTGGATGTGAGTGAGACAATGAAGTTTTTCTCTCGAGCCCGAAAGCTTCATCTCCAATGAGAATATTTAGCATTTCTCGTAAGTTCACAAACTCATTTACTCATTACAAGTTTCTCCTTTCATGAACTGCACCCCCCAAACTGGCGTATTTTCTGTAATGAACTATTCATGTGGAGATATAGCCCCATAGCTTTTCCAGTTTACCACTGGAATTTCACTTTGAAAAACCAAACATTGAAATTTCCATCTTTATGGAAGTTAATTCACTGAGTTTAATGCTCAAGTTTGCAGTTAAGAAACATGAAGTGGAGAAACTTATAATACATTTTCCGTGGATACTGGAAACCCTTGCAATTTTTCTGCATCCATTCCTTCATGGAAAATTGCGGTGAAAGTAACCAAGAATTTTTTCAAATATTTTTATGTAAAATTTTCTCATCTGAAAAACTTGATAAGGGGTAAAGTAATCAGGGATAGTCCAAATATTTCATACAATCCACTGGTGAATTGATTGGAATTATAAGACAATATGGATTCCTCCAAAATACAGCTTCATAAACAACTGAATTGTTAATAACATTTGTTCGCATCGGGTGACGACAAAACGAGCATCAAATTTGGATTCAGAAGCCCGATGGCCTGGCGTAGTGGTTAAGATCGTTGCCTCACAACGGATAGGTTCCAGGTTCGATTCCGGGCCGGGTAGAATGGTGAGATCTAACCAGCTTTAAAAAGTCCTGATCAACGACCACATAGTCTGATCTGACTCGAAGCGATGTAAAATAAGCATTAAAAAAAAAAAAAAAAAAGAAAATTGGACTCAATCCACAAAGTCTTGATGACCGTTTCCAGAATCAGTAAATAGTAGTTCCAATTAAATCGTTCCGAACCAAATAGAATCATCAAAAAAAAAACAAAAAAATGGAGGCCAACTGTTGTCCCGTGGCGATGTTCACCGGTCCGGACTATCGGGCGTCAAAGTTTTGCCGCACGTTATCGAAATACCACACCCTGTGTGCCTATACTGGCATAAACCAATCGATAGCTTTCGCTAGCGTAATTCTATAGAATGCCAAATCGAACTCTCGCATGTCTAAATACACTGCTCATTGATACGGTGAATGGTAGAGAGAGATAGATACTCTAGAGGCATTAGGCGACTACATTACGAGATGATCACCACTGCGCAGAGGGCGCCCTCTGGTGATTCTGATCCTTTGTTCCATCAGGCGAAAACGCTCATCGCTTCTCGCTATATAGGGATATTATGGAAATTTATACGAAAAGCTTCTGTCTCTCTCTCTCGCTCTCTTTTTTTTTTCTCTCTATTTCTTGTCGAAGGGGGCGAATAGAGACGATCGGGAAATCGATTTCCCTGGTACACGGCATTAAAAGTCCATTACATCCCATTTCTATGGTACAGTATACTCTATCACCCCTTGCTGTTTTCCTATTGTCGTTTGTCAGGGCTTAATTGCATCGTGGCAATGACGATGTGAGGGTTTATGGGTCAATTAAAATTTAGTTTGTTGACGGAAACATCGGCGGTTAATAATCCAGGAATATTAGGGTGGGCTTCTTGTTGATGGTTAAGTGGTTATCATCAATATGAATTTTATTGAACGATGAGAAAAATGAGGAAGCTGATTGATTGATTGAATTAAGCTGTAATTTTTCACCTACGAAATTCCATCGCAATTGAGACGAAAGCTTTCCCGGAATTAATTTCCGAGATCAATTATTTAATGTTAAATAAATATTATAAGATGATTATTACTCAAATAAAAAAAAATGTTTATTAAAAAAAAAGATAATTATGGCAATATATATATAAATTGTGCGAAGTGCCAGACGAAAAAACAAAAATGACAAAAAAATTGCCAAGAAAAAAATGAAAAGACAAGTCCAACTCCCTTTTCCAATCGAAACTTTAAAATCGCAGACGCAACTCTTGGACCTAATGAAAAACTAGGGAAACAATTGTTAATTAAATTTCACAGGATCCACATCACCATTTCCTCACCTTTCCTCATCAATTTCCAAACAAAACGTTGGTCCAATCACCTCGTTGCTCTTGATTCGATTAAGTTCCCCTGGCTGGCCCGTGACATTCATTAACTCCATTCATTAGCGAGCGTACAGTCTGATGCCGATGTTTACCAGGACTGGAGTCCAAGTGCCCATAGGTTTCCTCTCTATGGACTCGACAAATACATGAGCATGTGTGTTGAGTTGAATTGGAATTCTGGGGCGTTTAAGATAAGGGTGTCCCCTGGAAGGATCTGACAATATGCTACTCCCTCTTTGCCATTGCTGTCAAATGCTCTATAGAGTCCGAAGTGGAAATTGCAATATGGCGCTGGAGAATCGGTGTATGAGGGGCATTAATGTTACATGCGTTTGTGTATCGCCTGCTGTCGACTAAACTGCAGGGAAAATTGTGACCTGGGGCTGGGGGCTAAGGGTTGGATATTCATTGGGAGCTTTTTCTTATCGGAGGACAACACGTTGACTCCAGCGCCTCCAAATACCATTTCCACGTTTTGTTTTCAGGCACGAGGGGTAATTGCTTTTGTGTACGATCTGGGGATAGGGGGATAGGGATTTTACTTGGATGGAGACGTCTTCATCTCGCGCTTCACTGGGTATTAATTACCTCAACATGCGGACTCTACAAATTAGTTTTTTGGGGTGGGGGGATGTGACAGGGGTTGACGTCCTAAATATCACGCAATAGTAATATTACACCGGAAATGAGTAATCGTGAAGAAAAATCAATCTGATTGAATGGAAAACTTTATTTTCAAATGTGAGATTCATTTTTGTAATCATGGCTTCCCAAAAAAAAATCCTCGGAAATAATTTTTTTTTTATTGTTTAAACAATTGTAATACTATAACGTAACATTTATATTGTAATAAATATTAAACAACCTGGCGGTTATTTTTGGAAAGTTCCTGGGCTCCGGAAAAATATAATACGATGGAAAAACGTTTTTTTTTTGCTGAGGATTCATTTTGAATGGAAGATCTATGTATTTACATGAAAATATTATTTATCCAGGTTCTCAATTTGTTAATGATAATTACCGTATTGCATTAAAATCTATGCGTATTGGATGTGACCTTGAGTGAACTCGACTAATCATTATCAATTAATGAATTTCGATACCGACCTTTTTACGAAATTCGTATTCGTGACTATTTACTGATCAATACATTTTTTTTTTATCCTGAGTGCATCGGCAGATTATATTACGGTACATCCCATTAGTCCCTCCCCTGCGCAACTAATAGATTTTTCTCTTCTATTTGGATATTAGGTTCGGAAACGTGTATTTCAATAATCTAGTCGGTTATAAATATTGATTTTCGATGGACCAAATACTGTTTTCACTGCAACGGTTGAGATTCAATTATGTAATTACTGTCACTCTGTATTTGGAATAAATATTGTAGTCTGAACAAATATTCTGTTGTTTGTCTACAACATTGTCAACAAGAGGTGACAGAGTAGAACAAATTCTAAATGCATGACTGATTTCCATCGCTTTAGTCGAGCAAACTACAAGTTTCATCAATTTATTCTATTTTATTTTTATTTTTTATTTTATTCATTTATTATTATTTTTTTTATTAAAAAAAAAATATATTTTATTTTATTTTACAAAAAAATACTTTATTTTTTTTTTTCAATTAAAAAATTATTTTGTTTTTTATTTAATTTAATTTATTTATTATTATTTTTTACAAAAAAAAATATTTTATTTTTTTTTCAACTAAAAAAAATATTTTTTATTTTATATTTTTAACCATTTTCTTTTATTTTTTTATCAGCAGTAAAAATTGAGGATTTTAAATGATGAATTAAAATAATAATGTTCTTCTAATATTATCATAATTGAATATTATTATTGAATGAAAAAAAAAAGATTCTTTAATTTTCCAAACGGAAGAACTGACGAATTCCTTTCCTCCCGGCATTTCTTTCACCATCCCAACCGGATATTCGAAAACATCATCAGGAGATGGAAAAGTTCTTCAGATAGAGGCGAACAGAGAGAATCCCAGGGATATTAAATTAATAGAGCCGATCGTCTCGCATAGGGGAGAAAACTGGAATGAGATTTGGGAGCAAGAGGAATGTACGATATTTGGGAGTGAAACCTCCCTCTTCGTGACTTTCAACGAAGAAATCGGCTTATTTCCTCAGCACAACCAATCACATGGGGTAAATAGTGCTAATGCTAACGCGTACAAAACTTTCAACATTCCTCCCAGTTTGAATAAATCTCCCACTCTTTATTCATCCTATCTCTTCGAGGTTAGGTTGATATTTTCGTACCCTATAAACAGAAAAAAGAGTCATACGAGAAAGAACTATCAACTAGAATATTCACGTCCAGGAAGTACAATAATTTAGTAAGCATTATTATGTAATAGTAAAATAATTATTCACCTTTTTGCATGTACAAATACAGACTGATCTGTAGAAATGTGGAAAGTACACTGGAGAAATGGTCCCACCCCTCAGGAGTAGTTAGGATTGGCACAAGTTTCTTAGAAGAGCACAAGCAGTCCAAGGATTTCCATTTCCGTTCAATAACCCTCCGGCCATGGTGTTTGCTATCTCAACATATTCTGAAAAAAAAAATATTCAACAGTTTTCTTTTTTTCAGGAACTACGAGTTTCTGTTTGGAAACTTTCCCGACATTTGCTATTTTTTTTTATAGCCTCATGAAGAGATTCCGAAGTCGTTGGGAGCGCAGAAATGATATTCTTATGGTGCAGAGAAATGGAAATGAAGAAAGAATCAGTGGATTGTGATCAAGTCTTTGAACTGTCAGCAGCAATTGTCATAAGACATCCCCGCCCTCGACAAAACGATTTATGATATAAAGAAAAAATACGAATAAAGACGAAAAACAAAAGAAATTTAAAATAGTTCTGTTTAAAAGATAAATTGAAGAATTTAATTCTCCATAGATTTTTTCTTTTTATTAATCGATCTTTTAGTGATTGTAATTGACTCAAAGGACTTAATTGAATCGATTCATATCGATTCATATCGACTCATAGTGGCAATCGACTAATATCGAAATATATCGACTTATGACGCCAATCGACTTGTATCGAGCAATATCGAGTCATTTCGAGTTATGCCGCTAATCAACTCGTATCGAGTAATATCGACTAATATCGAGTCATGTCGACTCATGACGCCAATCGACTACTCATATCGACTAATATCAATTCATATCGAATTATACCGACTCATATCGTATGACGCCAATCGACTCATATCGACCCATATATCGACCCATAATGTGTCCCTATAAATATCGAGAAGTGAAACAAATTCTATTGATTTTATAAGCTTCACATTCCATACGAATGACATCATCATATCAATTGATTAAAGTCAGATTTTTCTAGATTAATCTGCGCGGGAGTTGCCTGAAACCGGAATCCAATTCCGCACATTCATAAAACGCTCTTAAAATTGATTGCCTGAACTTGAACAAACAAGCAACTCCCATAAAACCAGGGAAAGCATAAACATAACCTCTTCATCACTCGTTTACAACTGAACCGCGAAAAACATTTTCGACAAATGCTAGTAGTATGACTAAGGGTTAACAAAATATCATAAAGAGGTAAGATAGAAAGGGGAAGGAAATGTGGATACGAGTAAAAGGGATTTATTGTTTATTAGCTCTGGCGTTGAGACTGCGGACCGTTAAGCAAAGTCTATTGAAAGTTCCCTCATCGTTTCTAGGGCCAAACTAGGGTGACTGGCAATAAAAGAAAAATATAGATTTTTCAATGCATCCCCTCTTGATTGTTCCTTTACAGTCAAAATTCTCGAAATTATTTCCAGTATTTTATCCGGAAATTCCTCCAGTCTATTTACTTAAACGAATGAATTGGTTTTGAAACTTTTATGTCCACAACACATGAAAACGCATTTTAATAGAACAGTTTAACTGGTTTCATGTAAAAGTGTTTTTCATTTGTTAACAGGGCTCCAATAAAGCCAACACCCAATCCCATTCTAAAAAGGACAAACATCGAGACTATCGATATCTCGACAGTCTGTCACGGTTATTCCTCATTGGTTCAGCCGTCTGAGGCGGCTAATTTGAATTTGGAACTCATTCAAATTAACAATTTTTAATCAAGATTTTTATAATTACAAGTAAAAAGGCCAGGTAACTCTCCGTATTCCCGGAAATTCTATTCTGAAACCTCTGCAAATTCTGTCAATTTCAATAGTCTAGGAAGTTGGCGGTTCCGCAATTTTTTCGCAGAAAATGAAGAGATTTTCTATCTCGTCTCTCATTTTTTCCTAGGATTTCACACAAACGTTATTATGATATTGATGTGAGCACGATTTTACAACAAACCATTACGTGACTACGCGCTTATATCTTCGCTATTTTTCCATAAAACTAAAGTTCCACAGAAGTGATTTTTTAGTCGGAAAAATTGTTAACTCGACACCATGACTTCCGGATTGATAATATTAGTCTTGATAGCTGTTGCAATTCTTCCATGTAAGAGCTGAATAATAATTATCATTATGAGAATTTCTTATTCTAGATATGTACAATATCTTGACCATATGGATGCAATTTGGTTCACATGCATCAACATTCAAGTTTATTCCACTGATGATGTCTATCGTTTCCAACTAACAAAATAACATTTATAATAATCTGTGTCCCATTCTAAAAAGGACAAACATCGAGACTATCGATATCTCGACAGTCTGTCACGCTTATTCCTCATTGGTTCAGCCGTCTGAGGCGGCTAATTTGAATTTGGAACTCATTCAAATTAACAATTTTTAATCACGATTTTGATAATTACAAGTAAAAAAGCCAGGTAACTCTTCGCATTCCCGGAAATTCTATTCTGAAACCTCTGCAAATTCTGTCAATTTTAATAGTCTAGGAAGTTGACGGTTCCGCAATTTTTTCGCATAAAATGAAGAGATTTGCTATCTCGTCTTTCATTTTTTCATTTCAATAACAATTATAATAACATTCAATAACATTTATAATAATTCGTGTCAAAGTTTCTCTGCCGCATAAAATTTACCAGGACTAGTGTCTGAATAATAATTATAAGCTATTTTTAGAGGTTAAGAGCCTTACCGGGACAGTACCGCTTGAACCTGGAGAGCTTCCTTTCATAACAATGATTAGGGTCAATCAAGGGCCGTTCCGCACTGGAGCCCTGATCACTCCAAACATAATTTTAGGATCTCACCGAAATCGTGTAAACAAAATTACACGGATCCAGGTCGTATTCAGAGAATCCAATGGCGATGATTGGCTATCACCAGTTGCTGGGTATTATCTGTACGAATCACAGCTAATTTTGAAGCTGCAGGTAAGTCACTCAAGCATCTCCAATGATAAATAAGAATAATTAATATTAATTAATATATAAGATCAATTAGAAAATGTTGATGATTATAATTATCCATCTCATGGAAGGACAAAAATGAGTCTCTTCGACAGACATGCTTATACTTACATGTTCTCTTTGAACTCATGATTTTTTTAAAAGCTTTTTAAAAAAGTAAAAACTACATATGATGCCTAAGACAATTTTTCTAAAAATTTTAATTAATCCACCATTTCGCCAATTAGGTGAACACATCCTAAAGAGCCGTTACAGGGTCATATTACACGGAGAAAAAATTTTTTTTGCCAAAAATATTTCCTAGCCAAAAGAAAATATATTTTGCGTTTGAATTTATATGAATTGGAAAAATCACATGCCTGCAAAAGGGGCAGGGAGGGTAAGGCCCAGTATATAGACACAAGCATGAACACCTATTAAGATATAATTAAGATATAATTTTATATCTTGAGAAGATCAATTTATTATCATACATATCATATACGCGAGTCACTTTCTAAAATAGTAGTGCAAAAAAATCAATATTTCCATCATTTTTTCGAAAATTATATAAATATCCACATCTTCAGAGCATAAACTATTACTTCTACCATTCTGTTAATCTTTTCAGCTTGCTATCAGCGTCTCAATTAGCCCAATTACAATAAGTCATCCAATCCCAGTTTCAAACGTGTCAGGTATATTCGTGGGAGCGAATCAAGAAACTGGCATGATGTACCAGGTGCCCGTGAGGGTTCACAACCCACATTGGTGTAAAGCAACCGGATTCTTGCTTGAAAGCTGGGAGACATGTTTCGGTGAAGATGGCAACCTATCGCCAGTTCTCTCCTCTGTATGCATGAACATATACCGAGGACCCTTATTAATATAAGTTAATGATTTCCCTTAATTTATTTCATTTTACTACAGACACACTTAGGCGGGGTAATAATTTACAACAACACTCTTCTTGGAATAAGAACTAAGCGTAGCCACTCTTCAAGGGAACAGGCTCCACACTCTGTGGTTATTTTATTCGAGATGGGCTCATGGATGATACCACTGCAGAGCCTGGAAGGAATCAACAAACTATAACACATTATGATATATTTTTATGATTATTCCCTAAACTCATGTTGTAGAAGTTTATAAATATTATTGAAGTGTTTACGTCGCATTGAAAACTAATTTGATTGTTAAATTTATTACGGCTGTATAATATAAAATGTTATCAGTCTAGTCGTCATTGTCATTTTTACCATGCTCATCGAGTTTCTTTCGTTCACCATCTAAGATTTAGGTTATTGAGCCTATCCTGATCAGGATAGGCTCAATAACCTAAATCTTAGATGGTGAACGAAAGAAACTCGATGGTACAATATAAAATGTTATCGGCGGTACAATATAAAATGTTATCAATCTAGTCGTCATTGTCATTTTTACCATGCTCATCTGGTTTATTTCGTTCACCGTCTAAGATTTAGGTGATCGAGTCTATACTGAACGTTCATATCTAGCAGAAAGGGAAAATAGCTATTCACATTTCCAAATAAAATGTTGCATTAGGCGTACGAATTTTTGTGCAAAGGGAAACGTGGAATAGATAGTTGAGGATAGAGAGGGTGAGGATGAGGATGAGGATGAAAAGGAAGAGGTGGAGGTTAGCTTTTCGGTGATAGTGGAGAGGGAGAAAGCCTTTTACGACCTCTTGGCTCGCAAAATGTGTCTGGATGTCATCTGAGTATTCTCGGGTGGCAAAGAACATGGACTCAACTACCTTTAAATCCAAAACACTTGGCTCACGTACTGCAATTTCATGTGATGCCACGTCACTTGTGTCCTGCCTTGCAAATCCATTCTTTCCCTTTCTCATTCGCTCGGCTTTCGTCCAACTTCACTCTCTTTCTACCTCAGTCTCACGTTAACTTGTTTGAAAATAATAAACCATCGAGCCGCCATATTCTGACATTGACAAGAAAAATGGCCGACAGCTTCTGGTCCAATCGCTCTTCCATATTTATTGTCATATTATTTTTTTTTTTTTACTTTCGGCATTGTATGATTTTTATGCTGTATTCTCCAAGCCCCTCGTCCCTCGGTCTCTCCCTTTCGACGGTTGTCGTTCAATCGCCGGTGGAGAAATATTTTTTTTACTCAACTGAGCGTGCATTTTATTTGTTGTTGTTGCCGAGGATGAAACTCCATCCTGGAACGTTCGAGCATCGGTTTTTTTTTTTCCGGGGTTATGTGGGGTAGTGGGAGCTCTCGTGATGGGGATTCGGGCCGTTTGGTTTTTAATCCGAACGGTTTTTCGCTTGTTAAAGGTTGTTCTTTTTTACGGGAGACCTCTCGCATTACGGAGGTATGGGACGTTGAGCATTTTTTTTTCCCCACTTTTAGGGGAAAATGGAATGTTCGGGTGACTTCCATTAGAAGTTCGAATTTCACGGATTTTGCGCGCTGAAAAAATATATTCATCCGGTGTTTCTCATGCGTAATACCATTGAGGAATTACTCTTATGCATTTTTTGTTAATATTTTGATTGCGCATCCTTCATTTTTATTTTTACTTTACATAAATAAAACTAATATTTTTCAGTTAAAATTCATTGCGTGCGATGCGGATTCCAATTTCCCGCCTAGAATAGATGGCGGGAGCGTTGACCAATGAGGGATCAGTAGTATCGACGAACTTCACTTATGTGTTCATCCTTGAGATGTCGAGATGGGAAAAGACACTGAGACAATTTAAAAGCGTCACACGAAAACTCTTCACCAGTGTACCACTTTATTTGCTCTTATTTTTTCGCCTCTCGGTGACCGCCACTATTTTCGCTCTCTGGTCAGATCTCGTTTCTTCCTTGGACGAAACGAGTAAAGATGTTCTCGAGTTTGAAAAACTTCACAGAAAGATACCACTAGAAATATAACCAACTTGTGTTTGAAGATGGAGACAGGAAAACGGAGGAGTGAAAAAAGTCTCACGACTCTTTTTTTCGTGTAGTACAGAGAAAAAAAAATGGAGTCCTCCTCCCCTGGAGGGTTTGAGAAAGAGGAAATGGTAGGAGACACAAGATAAATGTTCGCAATGACGGAGGACTTTAGAGTTGGAAGGTCAGGAAAAATCAGGGGATTCAGAGGTTCCACCAATTTGTAACGCAAAAACCGACGGCAACCGGGGTATAAAGGATGCATTATAAAACGTTAAAAGATGTTTCTTGCTGCGTGAATATAGATCCGAATTGGAAAAAAGTAAAATTACAATTTACCAGGGAAAACTCTAATAAACATGACGACTAACATATTCAAAAAAGCAAAATATCAAAATAAGAGAAATCTCATTTAATGAAATACTGAAAAAATCGATAAAAATGGTGATAAATGGAATACAGTAAAAAGAATGATGAATATAATAAATCATGCCGAACGGAAATTAATTGACCAAATGTAATTAATCTTGACAGTGAATGAAATCTTGCGAAATAATAACCAATAAAAGTTGTTATCGCCAATTCATTGCAATCATTAAATTGAACCGACGACGTGATTCAAATGTCGGCGGTGGTAAAACGTGTGATGTAATGGAAATGGAGAGTCGTAATGACAAGGGTAACATAAATGCCATCAAATCTATGAAATGAGCGTTGTTGTGTTCACTTCGCGTTATATCGGGGCTTTGAACGTGATGATAATGACTTGAAGCAGTCATTTAGTTGTCCAGGTGGAACACGAGGGTGTGACACTGTAGATCAGAATCAACCGCCCATGGTTGAATGTCGGCCGTATGTGCTTCAGAGAAATGGACCATGGATGTATATATTCTTGTCGCTTTTAATCGTTATCAGACTGGACGATAAATTTGCTCGGCTGATAAAATCCTCGTGAATATTCGCAACACAGAAAATAGTCCACGACTTTTAGGTTAGTTATGGCCGATAATTACCTCCAGACAAATTTTCCCACGAAAAATTGAGGGAAACTTTTTCATAAAAAAATATAGTGTCATAATTTGTGTCACTATATCTTAAAAAAATGGTTCACTCGGCAGGAAGAGGATGGAACTTATTGAGAATCATTTAAGAGTGATAATTAATCGCAATAATTATTTTAAAATGCGAAGTGAACTTACCGCCATTTTTAAAACGTCACCGGCCCGTGAGAAAAAAAACGCTTTATGGAATTTTGTTATACAGGAAAAAAATGATAAAATTAAATAATTGGGAGGGTAAGTTTAAGATTTTTTTTACCTTAGGTCTATTATTTTAGGTCTGAAGTACCGCTTAAATTTGCATTCTCATGTATCGACACGGGTCTTTGTTATCCGGCGTAAGCATGTTTATATTTATGTCCTCCACCTTCTTGTCCTCCCCATTCTCAAATCACTCCCCCTGGCTCCTAACTCACGTAGACTTTGATTAGAGGAGCCTGATAATGACAGGAGATTGAACGAAGGCTTAATCGGATATTCGAAACTGTCTGAGTCGCCTCATCGGGTGAACGTCAGCCGAGATGTTACCTCTGGTGGCGAAGCAAACTTTGCGTAAAGATACATATTATGTGTATGTAAGATATAACCCGGTTAAGATAGCCTTGAGATGTATATACTCCACAATGTTTACTTACATACGCTCGTTCAAGGGAGCTCTCCTCATTTCACTTTGACTGATGCTATCTTCACTCTCGTTCCCGCGCTTCGAAAATACCCTTTGAGTGACTAGGTGTTTAAGAGGTCGCGAGGTTAAAACAAACTCACATAATGGGAAAAAATTGCAATCCCATTTGCAATATCAAAAGTCGAGACAAAACGCGTAGACTACAATAACTATCAAAACATCAATTATCATTCTCATAAAATATTCGAAAATGCATGTGAAAATGAGGATTTCATTAAATAGGGGAATCCCATTAGCGCGGCGGCGCTAGTTGTTTAAAAAAGCGAGGTGGCGAGGTGAAGTTGCCGCCATTTTCCATCGCTGGGCAAGCAAGATGGCGGTCTCTGTCCTCTTAACAGCTTCGTCCTTTTGAATATTTATTAAAAATTTGGCTTAATCCTAAAAAGAGGTGAAAATATTCTTCACCAGACAAGAGGGATTTCCAGCAATGTTATTTGAAGAAACAGAATGTTGAGTTGAAAAAGAAAACCATGCATTCTACCATAAGTACTTATTGGATCTGGTCTCCGAAGTATTGACAATTTTCAGGTTAAGCAAATGCGTATGAAGGGAATTCTATCCTTTTGCTACCCATGGATGTGGAAGATGCTTGTGGACGAAAAAATCTCATCTCTGCAAAGTGCATTCGGGTTCGAACGAGCGTAGCAACTACTTCAGTCCTATATCCAAGTTGGTGGAAAAGATGTGGAAAAAGAAATAGCGAGAAAAGTAGTTCAGAGAGAAGGAACGAGTTAGAGTTAGCAGAGGGCCAAGCCTCGGACAGTTAGATTTTATGTTTATCTTTATGATCGGAACGGGAAAATCATGATTATGTTGGTACGATTGGACTTGAAGTTGGCCAATTGGGAATTGGTGGAATCCTCATCGTTTTATGGGGCTTGAGTGAAAGTAAAGTTATTTATTAAAAACAAAAATCCATAAATACTAAAGAAATTAATACCGTAAAAATTACCAAAACTCCGTAATTCCAATAATCCCCTAGTCTAATAAAATCCTATTCCAGAGTTGAATTTGTTTTAACTGAAAATACCAATAAAATAAAATTAAATAAAAAATAATAGTATAATAAATTATTTTTGGATGCGCCAATTTTTCCTGAAAAAATAATAACTCAATCATTCTCGAAACATGAAAATAAACAAAGATGAATACTAAGGGGTGAAAATGTCTACTGAACATTGAGAAATAACACACCGCAATGTGCAGGTTGCCCGATAAAACGACCGAGTGAAATTTTATGATCTCCCTTTATCGTGCAGTTATTGACTTGAGGAACACTTTTACGGTGAAAGTATGATTTTACGATACCGTCCTCCTATTAGCCATTGCGTTCGTCTTTCCATTATTCGCATAAAGAACATTTTCTCCTCTACTGTCACCGGTCTTCGTTTTTCCACCCTGTCATAATCTTCGGGTATTTTTTTTTACTTCTTTATGCACCGATGAAATGACTCTCTGATAATAAATTGGTCGATCCGTGAGTACGTTGTAAAACATTTTCATAGAGAAGTTACTTCAAGAGTAATTTTACTCTATTGAATTCCATCGCACGTGTGCAGATTTTTAATCAACGAGAACGAACACCCGCTACAGCCCCCTGTAATTATGAGAATCGTGATTAAAAATTGTTAATTTGAATGAGTTCCAAATTCAAATTAGCCGCCTCAGACGACTGAACCAATGAGGAATAAGCGTGACAGACTTTCGAGATATCGATAGTATCGATGTATGTCCTTTTTAGAATAGGATTAATTTGAATGAGTTCCAAATTCAAATTAGCCGCCTCAGACGACTGAACCAATGAGGATTAAGCGTCACAGACTTTCGAGATATCGATAGTATCGATGTTTGTCTTTTTTAGAATAGGAATCAATAAACACAATTGAGTAAATTCTCAAGATTCGGATAATTCTGCTTTGTGGGTGCCCATCGAAAAAAAATTATCGATAATCTGCTGCCCCTCATCCGATAATTTTTTCGGTCTATTGAGTTCCGGTTAAGTTGTGCAATTATCCATGACAATAACTTCTTGTCAATTATTCTCATCCGGCTATTAGACGCTTTTCTACATAGACGGAAAGTTTTTATAGCGTTCCACATTTTTGTGACGTCAAAGAAGTCGTTGGATAGAATTTGGATTAGGTAGGAAAGGGAGCAGGATAATTCTCGATATATTTTTTCCAACAAATATTACTGAAAAAATGGACATTATTGACAGTCCATCCTAGTTAATGAATTACGCCTGAATTATAATCGCTGGTAATTATATTCATCCCATCAGGATTAAAGAATTTCCTATAAAATTCAAGAATACGGATGAAATGTATGGAAGGTCGAGTGTGGAAATCGGGGGTAGATAAGAACCTGATGAAATATTGAATAGCGATTTTAGTGGAATAGATTCAGCAGTAAAGAATGGAAGTAACTCGAGAGTAAGTGGATTCAGATTGCTCGAACGTGGTTTCACTCGAAGACAATCTCGGACTGGCTAAACTTGAGTGGTAATCCCCCACCTTCACTGTGCTCTGGTAAAGGAGCACCTTCAATTACAGCATCAAAGGATGGTTCTGGTCGCTATTTCTCCCAAGACCAGACGCCCCCGGGTGCGAGGGGAACAATTAGGTGTCCTTTACATCAGTTACACCGCAATTTCAACTCCAGCACGTCCTCCACCATTAATTGGATATTTTTTTTTAGTTCTTCTTTGTTTTTCCTGAGGATATTCTACCCTTCTTTCATCACTCCCTCTCTGGCATCCAATATCTGTGCAATGTCTTTCAAGTAAGACTTCATGCAATGGAATGAGTCCACGGACTTTGTGCAAATTTTACAACTAATTTTTCAGTTTTGAGATTGATCGAGCATTTTATGTTGATGTTTGCATGCTAGAAATTTCTCGAATTGTTTGAGGTGATACCTGATGAAGAACTAATCAAGTTTTGATCGAGTTACTCTGATCTCCATTACCTATAAGATGGATTACTATCCGAGTTTCCATTAAGATAGATGAACTGTAGTCATAAAATTTGATTATTTCATGTTTTCAGTTGATAATTATTGTTTATTCGCATCATCCGGTTTAAATAATGTCGACTTGATCGAATCCTGAACTGTTTGACCTGATCAAAAACGCCGTTACATGACTGATCAGAATTTGATCCAGTTACCATATCAGATCATGATCAATCATCAGGGCTGACCTGATCAAATCCTACTCTGAACCTGATCGAAATTTCCACTGGGGTAATTAACAGATATCAATTAATAAATATTAATTAATATATATCTTCATTGTTACGGATAAATGATCACACAAAAATCTTAGTTCAATAAACGAACGATATAAAATTAAAAAGACGATAATTTTTCCACAATTGGAAAAATTTTGGAAGTAAAAATTTGAAAAATTGGAAGTAAAATTACGAAGAAGTATTTTCACAAAAAAAAACTGCTGCAATTACGGACGATGGAATATTGCCGTTGGATTTTCAATCAGTCGTAGTTCAGGTAACAAAGTCTCTAATAATTTTAGAGACAGGAGATCGCCATCCACCTTGACCTTCGATTTGACACACTGATTCAAATTTGTGAAAGCTTGCACCGACAGATTATCACGATTCAACAATGACGGGCTTTGAACACCTGATGATAGATTTTTGTTCAAAAAACCGACCAATCTCTTGAAGCTACAGTATAATAACTTGACATCTGGAACTGTTGCATATCCGTTGTTCTGACATTCTTGAATTGCACTGCTCATCCATCCCCAATCATCCCACATGCCACGATAATCGATTCTTTGATTATCAAGCTGCCATGTTAACAGTACTCGGTACCTGTAATTGGGAAATTCTATTACACATTAAAATATAGCCAGAAAAATAGATAATCTTTCATTCGCTCATGAATTGTTTCTACAATGTTTGATAACTCAAATTCATTCATTTTGATCTTGATGGTGTAATGAGCCATTAGTTTATACTATAGATAAATATTATTTTTTGTTGTACTCACGACCAATCCAACGGATTATTCCCAAACTCAACCTTTCTTAGCTGTGTCATCACTGGGAAGAGATTGTAATCGATGCCCTTCAGCTTGTTGTAACCAATATTGAGTTCATTCAGATTCGGCAGCGTGTAATAAACTTTGTAATCAATTGTATCAATATTATTGAATGATAAATCCAGAACTCTCAGATTAGGTAGATGAGTGAACCAGTCAGCGGGTATAGTCGTCAATTTATTTCCCCAGAGACTCAATTTTTCCAAGTAAACAAGACCCCAGAATGCATTAGTGTCGACACTACGAACTCCAGATTCGTGAATATCCAGTGTTTTGAGGGTAATTCCAAACGACGAGAAAAGATTACTAAAAAGACAATTACAATTGCAATTATATACATCACAAAACCGTGATAACTCAAAACTTTTCAACATTTGGATCGTCATCTCCAAGAATATTTCAAGGTCAAGGTGATAAATTCTATTGGATGGATGCAATGTCTGTAATTATAATGATTCAGGTGAACTGTAATTATAATTGTTGGAATATCAAGTTAAAATTTGTAAAAATATATTGAACTCATTTATGATGATTATTATATCCTATTCTAAAAGGGATCCTATTCCTATTCTAAAAGGGACATGCTTGACACAATCGATTATCTCGAAAATCTCGAAATCATGAAGCCACGATTCCTTATTGGTCCGTTTAAAATGGC